AAGGGGGGTTTGGGGGGGGGGGGGGGGGAGAGGATCAGGGAAAGAGATTTCTTCTTGGAAATGGATTTGGGCTTCTCCTACTTGAAGCTCTGTGTGTGTATGTGTGTGTAAGTGTGTGTACATGTGTGTATCTGTGTGTGTGTACAGATGTATGTATCTGCGCGAGTGTGTATAAATGCACATGTGCATGTGTGTTCACGTGAGTGTCTGAGGTGACCTCAGTTGCCTCTGTCCACCCCGTCTGCACAGAAAGGCACACGTGCATAGCGTCGATCAATCACCGTTTCCCTGCTCTGTTTAGGTTTCTGGATTGCAAGGGGTTTCCAGGGGCATGTACGACGGTCCGGTGTACGAGGTGCCAGCCACACCCAAATATGCAACTCCCGCTCCTTCAGCCAAATCTTCGCCTTCCAAACACCAGCCCCCGCCCATCAGAAACCTCCACCAGTCCAACTTCAGCTTATCAGGTAGGAAAGTGGTGGGGCCCAGACTCCTTACACTGCAGCGGCTGACCCTGCAGAGACAGACACATGGCCTCACAATCACGACAAAGCAGGGAAGGGAGCAGGGGACATCCTTCCCGGTCCTCCCGGAGGAGCAGAGTGGGCCGGAGGTCACAAAGCAGAGGGGGTCCCAGGGCAGCAACATGGGATAGCTGACCTTGGTCTACAAAGAGTTTGCACCCAAATTTGCCCTGTGCTCATGCTTAACACACCTGGGAACCCCTTCCTGCCCTTACCCATGAGGCTCAGCGTGGAGTGGTGGTGGCGAGCATGAGATGGGAGGGTGGCGTGTGCTGAGTGTCTGCTCCGGCGCGTCTGCAGCCTGTTCAGCCTGCTGCAGCATACAAAGCCCTCATAGTCCGTGGGTCACGTTGTCCTCAGAGCCACCCTGGGTGCAGAGTGGCATTATTCCTATTTTTTAAAGGAGAAAAGTGAGGCCCCAAGAAATTGAGTATCAAAATACCAGTAGTTGGTGCCCGACAAATGTGTGTGAACAAAATCAAAACCTGACACATCTCCTCAAAGTCCCCAGGGCATGTGTCTGTCTGCGATTTCATCAGATGGCCACGTGAGGGCAGGCGCGCCCACGCTGGAACACTGAATTGGAACGTTTGTATGGAAGACTGTTGGAGATGTTAGTGTGGGTTATGCACGAGGCCAGGTCCTAGGAATGCAGTGATGATTCCAGTGTTTAAGGGTTACCGATATTTTTGAACAAAGTGGACCCTAAACAGAACTCGAGTGTCTCATCTGGTCCTCAAACAGCAAAACAGGGGTTGGTTTCAATGCTGGAAAACCATCTGGGGGGGGGGGCAACACACAGCCTCCCCTCAAGGAATTTGCAAACAGGACTTCTCTTCTCAAGGTATGCAGTTAAGCACTGCGCAATTGCAGTTAAACATGGACAGAACCCCTCCCCCCTTAGAACAGGACAGCACTGAAATAAAAGCCTGCTGGAAGGGCCCATCAGCCCCCTCGTTCTGCAGTTACCTCTCGGTCCTTCTGGAAGCCCACAGCGCTGCCCTCGGCCAGCCTCTTGGCAGTTTGACAAGTGACATCATTTGCTACCCACAGCACAGATGCTTTCCAGTTTAGTAACAACTTCACAGATGTCCTTTAACTGTCTGCATAATGTTACATTGTATAGATTTAGTATGATTTCGTGTCCTTTTGTCCAAAGGGTGTTTGCAAAATACAGACATGTGACCAGCAAGGTATAGATGGCTATAAGGGGAAAAGGTATTAAGAGTTAGCCTGATTCCTGGGCCTTCAGGAGACTCCTGAATTACCAGGAGGACAAACTGTCTGCCAGTGAGACAATGGGAGAAACGAGAACTCGGTTTCTAAACTGAATGCTTAGCAGCTCTCACAGACAACTCATATAATACCAGAGACAGAGAGGCCTCATCTGGTGCCCTGCTCTTATTTTTCAGAAAAGAAAATGAGGCTGAGGGTGTGGTCTCTTATTCCAGATTATCCAAGTTCACCGCACGATTTGTAGTTACACCTGAGCCTGCTGACTGGACTGTAGGACGCTCTCCGTAACTTCCCAACTTTCAGCGATATCCGTCCTTCATTGTTCATTCATTTAATAAATATTTATTATGCACCAGGCACTGGGGTTGCTGCAGTAATTTTAAATCTTTAATAAACTACTAAAGAATGCCTGTGATTAGAATGGATGGTTGGCTTTGAAGATTTAAAACAAAAAAATATTGTTCCCCCTTACGCAGCAGATCTGCCCATTGCAAATGAGGGAGGTATATCCAGCTCTGAGTAGTTCACACACATGCACGCACACGCATGCACACGCATATACGAATGCACACACACACACCATACACAAAATACCCGTAGGGCATGGGGTGCTATGTGTAAGAGTGTGGGTTTTGGACACAAACCAGTCTGGGCTTGAATCCTGGCTTCCTGGCCCAACAGCTGTGTCCCCAGGACACAATACCCGAGCTTTACATTCCTCATCTGTAGATTGGGGGTGCAAACACCCCCTTCACAGTATTGCTGTGTGCTCTAAATGCAACAGCATGTGCTCGAGCACCAAGTCAGTGCCTGCATACAGTCGGCACTCAGTACGTGTTTGCCCCCCTGTCTCAAATACATCACATTCTACTTGAGAATTTAACAGGAAGGAGCACCAGGCGGTCAGGGCTGGAGGAGGGTGACCCCAGGACGTGGGGGGTGCAGAGGAGAGCAGGGGACCTGTGGAGGTCGGGAAAGCGTCCCCGGGGTGACCCTGTCCTGAGTCCTGTAGGCGGGTGGCATGAACAGTGAGCATTTGAATTCTGGGCACAGCATCCGCAAAGGCAGGGGACATGATGGAGTACGTGGCCCTCAGGAATGGCAGGTTGAACGGATGTGAACAGGGCTCATCCAGAAATGACTGGCTCTGTCTCTTTCAGGTGCCCAGATAGATGACAACAACCCCCGGCGTACCGGCCACCGCATCGTGGCACCCCCCGGTGGCCGCTCCAACATCACCAGCCTCGGTTGAACGCTGTCGCGCGCGAGTGAGAGATTCTGGGAAGGACGTCCATTCCTCTTCCCGCCAGTGTTTTTGGAACCCACAGTTTTAGTTGGTACTGATGGGGGAAACTGAGCGATGTCCTTTCCTCTTTTGTTTAGGAAGAAGTGGTACTAGTGTGGTGTGTTTGCCTGGACCCCCTTGCCCACCGTGTGTGTTCACGCCGAGCCCACCGCAGAGCATGGTGTTTTCATCTCCCTTCCTAGTGAACGTGGGTTCTAGCATTGTCGTGTACTGTCCCCCCACTTCTAACTGCAGTGGCTCCACAATTCTCTGAGTGGTGGTTCCTTTGCACCCTGTAGCTGTTCTAGGATAGTTGGTGCATGTCCCTAGGTTATGTATGCAAGCCTGTGCGTGCGTCAGATGCGATGTCACCGAGGACTGAGGGAGATGCGAAGCCAAGCCCCCAGGGCAATTCCAAAACTCTTAAACAAAGATGTGAGCTCATTGCCCCCACCCCACATCTACAGGAGAAAGAGGCCCGCCCCAGCCCGCCCCCAGTGAAATCCGGTGCATCCTCAGAAGGGCAGGGGCAGCCTTCCACTCGGTTGCAGAGAAACAGCGGCCCGTCCTGTCAGATACCCCGCTCTCTGTGGCACGTGCACTCGCCATGGCGTCTTTCCAGTCTGTGTGTGCTCTTCCAGCCAGCGCTGGGCTTCAGGCCAAGCCAGGTCACACTCAGAGAGGGGTCTCCTGTCCCCGTTCAGGGCTAACAGTTGCTGGGGCGACGGCTGCTCCCGGCTTGCCTGAGTTCTGGTCCCTCTGAGGCGGTTGACGGGGCAGTCAGGTTTTTAAAGTTTTGTACAAAGTTTTCCTTTGTAATCACCCCCATTTTTACTTAAAACTGACTTGTTGTGGCTCTTATTTCCGAATTCAAAGCTTGTGAAAAAATAAAGAAAACAAACCGTGCTGACTGGGGTGTTGTCGTACGTGCTGGTGTCTGGGGGGTGAAGGGCGTGGCAGTCTGTCCACATAGCAACTGAGCGGTGGCCGTTGCTCCCAAGGACCCACTCTTGGTGGATCCTGGGGGAGCAGAGGACGGAGGGAGGGCAGAGCCGGTTCAAGGCCTTGGGAGGGTTAAGTCCCAGAGCTGGAGACCCAGGGAAAGACAGCTGGTGGATGAACTTCTGCAAGACAGGCTGACGTCCTGTGTCCGTCCCTCCTGTTCAGTCTTTCCTTGACTGTCCTCTTGCAGGTCTGCCTCAGACCAGAAGCTCCAATCTAAACTTGACTTTTCTTCCCTCTAGTCCCAAGGGCCAGCTGTGCATGCTAAGGGGAGTAACGTCTCATGGGAAGTGGCTTGCCTCCGTTAGCTGTCCGTAGTGGTGACGACGATGATGGTGGGGATCATGATGATGGGGATGCTCACGATATTGGCATGGCACTTGCTAGATGCCAGATGCTCTGTGTGGTAGGGACTGTGATTAGCCCCATTTTACAGATGAGGAGACTGAGTCCTAGAGAGGTCAATAACGTGTCTAAGACCACACAGTTAGGAAGTGAGAGGAACAGGATCTGAATCCACGACCCAGACAGTTTGGCTCAAAGTCCAAAGCTGCTTGTTCCTACCTACTGAGCTTCACTGTCATTCCAGGCAATGGCTTTGGGGGTCCTACAGCTACCTAATGGTTTTGGTGTGCTCTTCCCCTCCCCCACTCCTTGGCTTGGTGAGGGATTCCCTGGTTAAGGTCCAAAGATATGCTGGCTCAGGTCAGACTTGCTTGAAATATGACTAAACCCTGAAAAAGGTCGAGAACGGATAATAAGGATATTTGACGTTTGGTCTTGACCCATTTCTACTGCTACAGGGCAGCACAGGAAACTTCCAGAAGAGCAAATTGTCAGCAGTGAGTTATCCCTCCTGCTCTCGGGGCCTCATCTCAGTCCTGTCAGGGTGGGAGTGGAAGCAGCCCTGACAGTCTTTCTCTGCGACAGACTCTGAGGGGGACTTTGCCTGGCTCTCAGGTCACGAGGCCACTGCCCAGCTGCCATAACCTGGCACCTATGTCCAACTCCAGGTTCCCTGTGACCTCCAAGAGGCACAGTTACAGGGGACGGGGGCCCTGGTAAGACGGACAAGTCTTCCTTCCAGGAGGCTGAGCTGCGACATTCCTCTTGAGGCACACGATTTGCTTCCATCTCCTGAGATCTTAGGAGGAGCGAGGGACAGTTTCTCAGAAAGCTTTAGGGGATTCATTCTCTCACCCGTTCATCTGCGGCCCTAACCCCCCAGCCACGTAACAGAACAGCCTCCAGGGATTAGGATGTGGATATCATGGTGGTGGTGGGGGGGGGATTATTTTACATACCACAGTAGTCTTCTAAATTTTCTTCCAGAAGTTTCATCTTTCACGTTTGGGTCTATTATCGCTCAGTAATCTTTATGTACAATACAAGGTGGGCCTGAAGGTTCACCTTTTCCCATTTGACATCCAGCGGCCCAGCGCCCTTTATGGAAAAGACCGTCCTTCCCCCACTAAGCTGCAGTGGAGCCTTTGCTGTAAGTCAGGTGACCATAAGCGAGGGGGCCTTGTTCTGATTCGCCGCTGCAGGGGTGTGCTGCTAAGTGAATGTCGATGCACACCAGGTTGGGGCTTGTGGGGTGGGGTGTGGGGGTGGTTTGCTGTGGCTGCTAACTTCAGTGGTGTAAATACTCTCGCCATAGCCAACTTCAGGCTACCAACATGAAGTCAATGAGCCTGGAAGCCATAAAACTTAACAGTGGGCTCTATTGCCCACGAAAGGCTCGTTGCGGCCCCGCTGCATCAGTTCGTCTATCTCTGAACCCAGATGTATATTGACTCTTAAAAAGTGGGACAGAAGGAGGAAGGTTTTTGCATATACTTTTCCCCCACCCATGTAAAGCCCAAACCGTTTTCGGGTACCCCCCACACTGCCTAACTTCTTCTGGACCCCCGAGCTGGTTTAGCCACGTTGGTCATAGACAGTGGCCTGGAGAAGGTCGCTCCCCTTAGCCTGTTGCTAAATCCCTGCAGACTCCACTGAGCTGCTGTTCTGACAGACGTGCATAATGATCCTCTACGTCGCTCTTTCCAAGGCAGAAAGTGTGGGCCTGAGATTTACAATACCATTTGCCTAAAGTTTCCCTCCAATCTAGTCACTTTCTGGAGTGAAAGAGCAAGAAAAGAGGATTCCTAAATAAAAGTGACTCAGGAATTGAAGTTTCTAGTTTTCTGTTGGTGCAGACCTGCAGAGATGCCGTAGGGAAGTGTCCAGGGCCCTGGGCCCCTGGCTTCAGAGTGAAGGTCCCCCTTCCTCACTTACTGGTGGCCCCTGTTTCTATAAGCAGGAAAATCTTGCATGGTTGTGCTGGAGGTCCAGGGCCTGTTTGGGGATTTTCTGGGAGATCCATCAAAACACGCAGGCAGCCTATCCTATTATGCTTCACGCTCTTTTCCTGTTGGGCTGTACTCAGATTCCAGGTGGGGAGCTTGGGATCCTGGTTGATGCCTGGATTGTGGAGGGGTGGCCAGCTGCGGTGGACGAGAGTCATGACACGGGGGTGGATTTTTGAGCACAGCACCTGGGAGAGCTGGTCAGTCATGCTCGTGGCCATGGGGGGTCTGAGGCACATGCTCGTGGCCGCCGCAGTCAGAACAAGGTAGGGGAAGGGCTGATCGGACAATGTAGGGCAGCCAGACGACAGGGAGGGCAGGGGGCGCAGCGGGATGAGGACAGACCACGTCTAAGGAGCCCAGTGACAAAATGCAGATTCCTGAGCCTCCTGCCCAAATCTGCTGACTCAGAATCTCCGGCCTGGGGCCTGAGGATCTGTTTTGAACATGGCCCCGGGGAACACTGACCTGCAGTTGCAGGAGGGAATGCTTTGCAGCCCCCTGCCTGCCTCCTGTCCACCATGTAAGCGTGCTGTCCTGTGGCAGACGCGGCCCTGGTCAAGGGGAGGGCAGTGGGTGTAGCTCCAGGGGAAGGTCAGATATTAATCACATTATTGCCCAAAGCACCTAATCGCCCCCTCTGCTAGTGCCATAAGGAAACATTTTGGGGAGGACAGAGACTGCATATCTCCCACTCCTCATGTCTTCACGGCTTCCACATTCTGGGGAGGAAGGTGGGGGCCTCTCCTGGCCTCTGTCTCACTCGCTGCTCCCCAGGGAGGAGAAACACCTGATCAGTCAGTCTGGAAAGAAGGAGCCCTGTCCTCTCCTCACGGCACGACTGGCCTCTGGAAGCTGATTTACCACGACGTGAATGGAGCTCAAGTTGTGGCCCCTCAGTGCACAGACCCTACCAAGGCCCTGGCGTGGGCTCAGCCACATGCGCATCTGCCGCTCCTGTCCAGTCTCCAGTACCGTAGTCAGGTCTTCTAACTGCAGTGGGTTGAGACCACTGCTCCTTCACCCTCACTAACGTCCCCACATGTCAGGGGACTGCCGGGGACATTTCTGGGATCTGGGTAAGGGCTGGTTGAGTTGGTTTACTGGGGTGTGTTTATGTGGGTCGCACTGTACACCTCTTGCTGGCCAGACCAGGGCACAAAGAGCTTCCGGGAGTCCTCTGCTGCCCACGGAGATGACTCACCTGCATCAGGACACACGTGTGCAGGGGCCCAGGTGGTCGCGACACAAGTGTGTCCCATGGCAGCTGGCACTGGATATGTGTGGGCTCAGAGGACAGCTGGGATCGAGGCACACAGGGTCAGAAGCCACTCTGGAAAATCTCTCATCATCAGATGGGTGAAACTTTAAGTGGAGAAATATTAGAGCAAACTATTCCAGAGGTGAGTTAAAGAATTAACTGCGTTTAAAAATACGTTATTTTTGGACTTGGGATTTTGTGAAATTTGTCAGATTTTAAAACTATGTACTTTGTTCTTATTTTCTCTCTCGTTCTGTATATATATTTACTTTTATACCTTTTGTAAGTTTTGCTTTTTGTAAAGCATGCCCCCCCAATGTAAAAGTTTCAGGCCCCACAAAATCTGGCTCTTCGTTGCTTCTCCTTCCCTGCTGTGTTTTTGGGGTGTCTCAGGAGGCAGGTCATGTCTGCGTCACCGGGTGGGTGAGTTTAATTCAGCGTGGAGGTACGAGCAAGCCCCTGTGACCACGGAGCCACCCTGGTCCTCCGAGTTGGCTCTGCCGGTTATGAAGCAGATATGTAGGTCTCTGTCTGTCTGACTTCTTTGTCTATTTTGCAACTGGTTCTGAACTTGGACGAGAAATAATGGAACATTATCCCACCCCAGTCCCAGCAGCAAAATATAATATGCTGGGTGTGTAAGAGGGGCCTGATCTTGATGGGGGTTAAGGGGCAGGGAGGGCTTTCTGAAGACGTGAATCCCGAGTTGATGTGAAGAGCAGCAGGGAGCTAACGAGGCACAGGGCGTGGGGAGGGGACAAGGCTGTTCCAGACAGAACGAACGTCCCATGCAAAGGCCCAGCAGTAGGCAGGGTTGTGGCACATTTGAGGACAAGAGAGGAGACAGAAGCTGGATGCAGAGTGAAGGGGAGAGGGGGCCCGTAGCAGACCTCACAGGGTCTCACTATCGAGGTTAAAGATTTTGCTTTTTATCCTAAGAGCCAGGGAATGCCGCCAGTGGCAGATCTGTGTTTGAGAGAGTGTGGGGAGCAGATTCCAGGAGATGGGGCCGGGCAGGAGGGAGGAGTCGGAGCAGTTAGGAGTCTTCTGCGGTGGCAGCCCCATCAGCACCCCCTGCCAGGGGTTCAGAAGTCACACGGCACAAAACAGGCCCAGGCCGGCCAGAGAGTCCTGGGAGAGTGTACTGGCCCTGTAAACCCTATTGGCTTCACCCTGGTGTCTCGAGCCCAGCTCAGAGAGGGCTGTTTTTATAAAAAAAAATCACTCACCTCCTCATGATACCACCACTCACGGCCCTCTTCCAATTCCACCTCCGTCCATCGCCGTAACAACCCACTGCCCACGAACAACTGAGACCTGGAACCGAAGTGGCGTGAGGGCGGTTGAGACGTGTCCTGGGGCCTCAGCGCTGACCTTCCTCTTTCTCCCCTGGCCCTTCGTGTGCCACATTCAGCTTTAAAGCCCTCATCAGGGTCAGGTGTCCCCAAGCCTGCTCCCGGCGACCTGCTGGGCATCCCGTGTCTTCCAGACAGCCACATTTTATGTTAATCAGGGAGGCAATTCCACAGCAGAAGTCACCGCTGTGCTCCTGTTCACAGAAGTGTCAAGTTGTGGTGTGATGAGAACACGACAGTCCTTACCGAGTTATGGGCCCCAAAGTGTGCCAAGCACACAGCTGGGTGGTGAGGGTGGGGCAGGGCCCAAGAGCAAATGACATACTCCCTGGGGCTAAGAAAGCTACACGTGAGAAGCAAAAGGGCTGATGCAGCAGCCGTGAATTGGGCCTGCAAGGCCAGTGGAGGGCAGTGGCCGGGGGCGTCTCACAGGGAGGAGCGTGCACTGGCCTTGCGAGCGACACTTGAAATCCACCTGTGATCTCTCAGTGCTCTCGTCTCAGGTGGACTGGCCCATCCTGGTGCAACCAGGGGGCCTGCCTGTACCATACGCACATCCCCAAATCAGGTGTCCCCAACACAGGAGCTGTCTGCCTCCAGAATGCCTCTGTGCAGATGACCCGTGTGACAAGAGAAAAGGGATTTCTGTGCAAACCAGGTTCTGAGGATGCTGCAGGAAGGAAGCCATCGCCTTTTACAAAAGACCCCACAGAGTAATGAAATATTTTATTGGGCCACAAGAGGGAACTGTTGGTTAACACTGGAAATCCCGCCTGCTGCCCAGTTAGGGATTTAAGGGTGCTCTGATGGTAGTTTTTTGGGTTTTTTTGATGGTAGTTTTGTTAACAAATGATGTAATATTTATGAATTACTTCTGTGAAGAAGCCATTCTTTGCTAGCTAAGAGTGTCTGATTTAGGTTTTAAGAAATGAGAATTCGCAAATAGCCCAGAAAATCCCTGAGCCGTGGAACCCACTACATTCTGGGAATTGGTGGAAACATCTAGCTATCATATCCTGGACTTGCCCAGGCAGGCACACATTGACTTATACCAGTGGGTAATGCCCCTTGGGGATACTGGGTGATGTCTGGAGACAGCTGGGAGGGGTGCTACTGGCATCTAGTGGGTAGAGGCCAGGGATGCTGTTAAACAGCCTCCGATGCATAGGACAGCCCCCACCCCCAACTTAGGAATTATCTTGCCCAAAATGTCCATAGTGCCGAGGTTGAGAATCCTTGATTGTGATGAAAAGAGCAATTTTCTCTCTGGGTGGGGAAAGCTTCTCCTGGATTTGGTTTGTGTGTGGCTGATCTGGAAATTTCTGGATGTTCTCAGCATCCATCAGGAGAAGCAGGTGCCCCTGGGGACATTTCTCCTCAAGGAAGGGGCTGCTGTCTGGCAGAAGAGCTCACCACCCCCCAAGGGTGAATCCCGAGGGCTGGACAAGGCCTCCTTCTGTGTACTTGAAATGCCCCGCCAAGAGAGGATACTGCAGCAGGTATCATGTATCTGTGGGTCCTCAGGCCCCTGGGTGGGTCAGGACAGGCCTGAGGTCCAGAGATTCCTCGGTCAGGGTCAGTCCGAGACTCAGACCCTGCCATGGCCAGGCCTCAGCTGCTGGTTGAGCCAAAGGACAGGAACGTAGCAAAGCTGGCAATCGGTCCATGAGAATATTGTGACAGCCAATGGCCAGGGTGAAAGGGGGAGAGAGGACAGGGTGTGGAGGCAGCAGAGACAAAGGCTTCGGATCCAGAAAACACCAGCATTGCCAGAGACCCCTCCCCACCCTGCAGTACTCACGAGAGGCTGGCAAGCGGAGGCCCCTCAGCTGCAATGTGACAACCTCCAGCTCGGGGAAGGCAGGTTCGGGCAGCATCAGGACAGGGGGTGTGGGGTTGGGGTTCGGGGGCCAGGGAAGGGGAGACTCTCCTGAGGAAGGAAGAGCTTGAAGCCAAATGAGATGCAAAACTCACAAAGACATATTTCCAACACTGGTTCCTGACTTTGGCAGGTGGTGGGGCCTCCGCCCTTGTTTATGCTCTTTAGGGAAGGTTTCTGTCCTTTCTCCGTCCACTCTCACGACAAGCCTGTGAGGCACGGGGAAGACCCACATCCTCCCGTCCTCATCGTTTCTCACACGGCTGCAGGAGGGGAGCGGTGCTCACAGCCAGGGCTTCGGTCCTGTCCCCTGAACAGTCTGACACTACACATTGCTTCTTTTCTGCAGCATCTTCTTTGAGTTCTCGCCGCTGCCAGATTCACTTTCTTGCAGACTCAGCCTTTTGCTGCTTAATGCACAGAAGAAATGCAGCTGGTTAGAGCTTTGACGCCGTGCCCGTCCCGATGCAAGAACTCATCCAATCAGATTAAATAAAAAGGCAGCAACAGGAGAGCAAAGCAATTTTCATTTTGACATGGGTTGTTAAGAAAGGAATAAAACCCCCAGTTTGCCTCTGTTGGGGGGAGATCACCCAAGTGCCATGGGAGAAAGGATTCGCATGCTCATGCGACTGAGGTGGCCCGGGACTGATCAGCCTATTGCAAATCCCAAAGTGTCTGTGGTCAGCTGCTGGCCGTGCTGAGGGAGGGGGCTGCCCGGCTCTTCAGGCTGGATGCCAATGGGGCATGGGCCACCTGGCCAAATGGGACGCAGACAGCAGCAGTGACAGTAAAGCCAGCACTTCCGATTATTGTCATGGTTGTCAACCTCCACATGAATGCCTCCAAGGGCAGGGCTGATTTTCTTGCCCAGACTTTAGGCATACAGTGGCTGGTCAATAAGCATCCACAGGCAGTTAGCTGGGGACACCCTTGTACCTGATGGATCCTGAGGTGTGGTCACCAGAGGCTGGGTCATCATGGTGGGGTTCTCCTGGGTCCCCTCTATCCTGGGGTGGGGGCTTCTTCCTTTTGGTCCTTAGGGGCTTCTCTGTAGAACACAGATGAATCCAGGCATGGCTCTGTGATTTCAGGTAAGTGACAACTTCTCCCAGCCTCATGTCAACCCAGCCTGACATTTTTTGAGCACGCTCTGTGGGCCAAGTATGCACTTGGTACCTTACTGCTCTTATACCCACTTAATTGACAAGGAAACTGAGGCCCAGGAAGGTGCAGTGCTCTCCTAAGCCTGTACGGCTGGCAAATGGCAGAGGTGGGACTCAGCCTCAGGTCTGCCAGGCTCCTGCTGTGTTCCTGCTCTACCCAGTGGACTTTAAGACTTAATGAAGCAGTAAGAAACTAAAAACAGCACCAGTCCTATAGCTTTTATTTAATAGGTCTCTGTGTTTTTCACCCCCTCCCAAGTCACTCATCCATCACCAGGTTACGACATCCTGTGATATCACTGAAGGGGGAGGAAGGCTTATTATCCCCACTTTACAGATAGAAAAACAGAGTCAGAGATGAGACACAGCTAGTGAGTGGTAACCTGGGAACCAGAATTATCAAATGCCAGAGAGCACGGGGTCCCACGGGGTGTCCTAACTGAGTCTGCTCATTTACAGACAAGGGCATGAAAGCTGAGAGAGGTTAAGTAAGACGCCTAAGGCCACACAGCTAGTTAGTGGTGGACATGGGACTAGAATCCATACTTCTCAGCCCAGAGAGCCTCCCGCGGTAGCCCAGTGCCGTCTGACTTACCCGGCAGCCCACGCTTAGTGGAGAACAGTTTGCTTTCAGCCAGGGGCACTCGGGCCAAGGCTGCCAGCTCAGAGATGAAGTTCTGCTCAGCTTCCTGAATTGCAAACGGGAGAGGATTAGCGGGGCCTCTCTCGGCCCTTCTCCACCTCTCTAAATCCCCCTCCACCGGAATGACACCATCTGACACGTGAGATGGCTGCTGGACCGTGTCTCCGGTGTGGAGAATTTTCTAAGAAGCATCCCATAGAGGTCAGGAGCAGGGCAGAGGCTCCTGAGGGCAGGAGCTGACATTCACCAGCTCGGGCCAGGTGCTGGTCTTCACTCCTATCAGCCTCGGGTCCCTATTTTACAGCTGAGAATACTGAGGTGAGAGGGACTCGGGACCCGCTACGGAGGTGGCCACAGCAGAACGGGAACCAACCCACTTCTGCCTGGCCCCAGAGTTGGAGCACTTAACTGCCACCACTGTGGTCTAAACAGGCAGACTGGAGTCCGTGACTTACTGTGGGACCCCGGATGGGAATGCGACCTCTGCAAGCCTCGGTTCCCCCATCTGTGAGTGAGATAACAATAACGCTTCCTCCGTTGTTGGCGGATGACATTAGGAAGTGTGTGTAAAGCTCTCAGCCAGTGGCTATCCATAACAGACCCTCAGTGCATAAATGTAACTACGTACTGTCACTCGTTATTGACACTGCCACTATTGTCACCAGTGGTGGAAACACTCCGAAAGTGCCCACACTCTGCTAAACGCTTCCTTTCTGGAATATTTGATTTTTTAAAAAAGGTACCCGCTTTGCTTTATAGCTGCACCTTCTTATCTCACACAAAAGAGATTTTTTTTTCTGTGATGAAATATCCACTTTCTATCATGAGAGCTGGGCTTCCTGCATGTTCTAGATAAAGTTCAAACCTCAGTTACTGCCAACACTGCCCAATGGTGCAGGTGTGAGCCCTGACACTGAGGAGCCTGCTTGGTGGCAATTCACACATGAGAAATGCCCATTTCTCAGGTGGCACCATAGATCTGGGCCCTGGCATGGAGGAGTCAGCACAGGCCCTGCCCACCCTCCAGGGGGTCAATGATGCCACACATGGAGGGAATCACAGGGATGGCTGATGGGTCTGGAGCAGGGGCATGGGGTCCCCTCACAGCGGTCCCCATTGCCGACCTCTTTAAACTGTTCAAATGCCCCTTTCCATAACTCATACCTGCAGCTGTGTCTCAAGCTGGGCTTCCAGATGGTCCATAACGCTCGCCTTCTGCTTCCAAGCGTCCAGGCGGACCTGCTGGTGCACAGTGAACTGGGCCAGGAACCTTTTCTGCTGTGACAACATCCTGGTGGAAGGAATGAAGCTGTCAGCGTGGCCCAGGACAGCAGGTTAATCGGAGCCCAGCACAGGCCTCCCTCAAGGGCTTGCCAAGTGGAGGCAATTAGTGCCTGTTGGACGTATGTGAGCCCTTGGAGGCCCAAGAGGAGCCCAGCCTTCTGGGCAGGGTTTGCTGTGGCTGCACACACGGTGGATACAACTCGAGTCCCCCGCACACGGGCTGGCTCATCGCAGAAGGGGACACCGTTTGATAACACTTGGGAGTTTACAGAATCTTGCCCACACACTTTTCACTGCATCTTCAGTGTAGCTTGGTGACATCGCAGGACAGAGCAGAACAGTCGGGGGATGGAAGAGCTCAGAGAAGCGGGGCTTCCCTGAGGTCCTGCAGCTGCGGAATGGCTGTGCAGAAAGTGGCATCTTCTTATGAGAAAACAATCTTACCCGCGGGAGGAACATGCTCCTCTAAGGATCAGGGCCTGCCCACTACCCACCCTCACTCAACGCAGAATTGCCCCGGCCCCTCCCTTGTAAAACTGGAAGCTCATTTCCTGGGACGCAGTGTCTGAAATCCTGAATACGGCGGCCTGGTTCATGGCGGCCAGGCGCTATTCCAGGTGGCGTGTGGGGAGCACAGCAGGGCCAGGGCCTGTGGCTCCACACGGGCGGGGAGGCAGATGAGTCACAAGACAACAGGCAGCCACGCGCCAAGTCACATGCTAAGAGAGTGACAGAGACAAGCGCCATGAAGGGGTCAAGGATGCGGGACCCCCCCAGACCGAAGTTGGGAGCTCACCTCTGGTAGACAGCCTGGGATGCTTTCTGGCCTCCACCTGCCATCCCGGTCCCTGACAAAGGGTTGCCCAGTGCTTGCTTTTTCCGCAGCTTGTAATTTTCCATTCTGTCACCTGCACCCATTGAAGACACAGCAATCAGGGGAATGTTTGGAGGATCAACTCTGCTGGGGTCTGGGGCAGAGGCTAGGGGCGCAGGGGTGAGCAGGACATGCCTACTCTCAGCGGGTGTAGGTGTGCCACTCTTGCCAGCACCAGGAAAGGGCTTGTGTGGGTGAGAACGTGCAGCTTCCACCCCAGGCCACGCCTGGGCTCTCTGTCAGCCTCCCCACCTCCAGCTTTCTGGTTAAGTATCAGGAGAAAGGGGAGCTGAAGGAGAAAGCCGCACCACCAAGAGACCACCACAAAGAACGATGATTTGCCAAGCAGAGCTGCCCGGGGCAGCAAGCCTCACAAATGCTGGTGCCAAAAGGAAGGCCTTCCCGGGAGTTGGGAGCCTGGCCTCGGAGCCACGCCCATTCCTTGGAGCTCTTTCTTGTTTGCAGATTCAGCTGCTCAGAAAACTCTTGGTTTTTAGAAGTTTTAAAAGTAAAGTGAGGAGGTGCCCTGGGTTAGTTTATATACATCAGCTCAGCTGATTATTGAAGAGGGTCCTGGTTTGGACATTAAAGGGCTGTGCTCTTCAAGGCGCCTTCCTGCCAAATAACCCAATTCGCCAATCGGTAGTTCCAGGGAGGCCCAGCGGGTGCCCGCAGCACGTAACCAGCCGTGACCCTACCTTGTGGGCCTGAGCTTTCCAGCACTCACAGACAGACTGAACCTGGTGACCTCTAGGGCACAGCAGCCTGCGACTCAAATGAGACAGCTTACTGCATGCAGAGGAGTTTATGTGCTGGACTAAGTTACGTTACATTGTTTCAAGGCATTCATGGTGAAATCCCCATGTTAGAGGTGTGGCATCAGGGAAGCAGGAAACACAGTTGAGAATGGGTGGAGACTGAGCCCAACCCTAGTCCCACAGATGGGGAAACTGAGGCCTGGTGAGGGGAACTGACATGCCCTGGTTCCAGAATGTTCTGCAGTAGCAAGAAATCACGTGTTTCCTGTTAAATGAGCCCAACTCTGACTTTGGAAAAGCATGATGGGCAATCTGTAGTCATCTGTCATATTTCTGGGCATGTGCCCAGATTTTATTTGAATCTCGGCCACAAATTCCCTAGGACAAGGGGGAGACAAAAGTGGCAGCTGACCTCAGCTGAGCCCCAGGCCGTCCACCCGTCCCTTCTAGGGATCAATTCCAACTCCAGTTGTTGGATGATCCAGGCAAAGCCTAGCAAAGAACACGAAATTCTGCTCTGTTCTGAAGCTCTGGATGTAGGCAGGGATGTCATAAGAAGTGGCCTTTGAGAAACTGGCTTTTGCTTATTATGATTAGTATGTTATTACTGGAATTGGGGATACTATCCTTGCTGCCATCCAGGATGGCCTTTCTGAGAGACCATGAAGGGAATGCCTTCCAAGGAGCTAGGAAGCCTGGAGCTTTCCCATTCCTTGGAGCTCTTTCTTGTTTGCAGATTCAGCTGCTCAGAAAACTCTTGGTTTTTAGAAATTTCAGGATTTGGGGAACATTTTATGGGCCACTGTCCTGCTCCCACTCATGGTCACTGCAGCCACTTTAACCAAGTAAGTTTTGTCTCTTTGGCCACTAGAAAGCTCAGAGACAAAACCATTTTACCTCTAAGGGGGATCTGCTGGGGTCTGCCCTGGATAATGACATAACCCTCACTCCATCTCACTGACCTATCCTTGTCCTGATTTATCCACTTAAAGAAAATCTTATTGTACTGTATGCATATGTTTCTTTAAGTCCTTTTAAAAAGGCTTTTTGGGACAAATCAGGGAATGAAAAAATATGTAAAAAAATTTAAAACTTAAATTTCCAAAAATAAAACTTGAACCACTTCGTATCCCATTCTGCCCCAGACTAAAAGGGAGGAGCTGTACCCTGCAGGGTCTGCAGGTGCTGCAGTCTTCTCTCCTCATGGTCCTGCACAACCCTCCCAATCTGCTGGTAATACGCCTGCACGAGGCGGCTGATGCCAGCGCTGGTCACGTAGACACTCTCCACCGCCGCCTCCATCAGTGTCCTCTGTGGGGAGGGGGGAAGGACGGGACAGTAGAGAAATCACATGTGGGAGCCACCATAGCCAACCTGGTACTCCCCATCCACTCCCCCTGGACCCCCCCTCCTTCTCCAGGACCTCAGTCCTTGGTCACCCTTTCTCTCCTCCTCTGCTTTGTCTGGCTGGCATATTGTTTACATCAGTGAATGCATCTGCTCTAGTATTCCGATTTTTCCACCCATCTCTGATCCCCTTCGGGTGCTGCCTGCATCTCTTCCTCCAGCAGCACTTTTCCAAGCTGGTGGTGGCCACTTCTTCCTCCATGGTCTTCTCTGCCACTGACAACAGGCTCCATGAAGGCAGAATGCAACATTGGTCTCTGTCCCCAACACCCACCACAGGGCCTGGGGCCAAGACACTCCGTGAGTAGATGTCACATAAACGACCCTTCTTCTAGAAACTGAGCACTATGTTCTTTCTTGTAGGTGTGAAGTGTTGGGGAGGGGTACTCATTTTCTAATTTCAACTCAAAGTCCCTTATATCTTATTCCATTTCATGCAACAAGCATTTATTATTAGGTAAGAGTTGGAGAACTTTAGGGAAAGGGGGTGACATTCCCAATATCACCAGCCGGGCACAGCCTTGATGTCTGGATGACCTGAGGCAGATGTGAGATATTCAGGATGAGACATGGTGTCACAGAAATAGAAATACGTGGGTCGAACCTCTTTGCTGTGCAGATAAACAGAGCGACTCACTTTATGTAAATGAAAAGACTCACTGCGAGGTGCCTGGAAGTGACTGGCACATCACAGTGCAAGTGCTGCCTACTGGTCACAGGTCTGCAACAGCTCTGGTGTCTGCCAGCTGTGGGCACTCTTTCCGCCAGGGCAGTCTGCCACAAGTGGGGAGTCACTTTTTCTTACCACTGGAGGGGGCCTGCAGCCAGGCAGATGTGGTACATGCACCAGGCATGCTGCAGAAGACCTGGCTCCAGTCCCAACTCTGCCCCTCACTAGCTGGGAGGCTTTACCCACATCTTCTCCCCCATCACAAGCCTCAGTTTTCCCAATGGGAAGAAAAATGATCCTTACTGCACAGGGTTGTGGGGAGAATCTGATGAGCAGTTAGACTTAGGTGCAACGCTAATGTGACTTCTCACTATTATCATTTTGTCACTGTTGTTTATCATTATTGTCAGTAAAAGGAGAAAACCACTGCCTACTTGAGTCAAACTGAGTTTAGAGGCATTGCTCAGCCGTCAGGATTAACTCTGAAAGTCTCAGTGTCTCAGTAGAGGTGGCCAGGGTCTGGGAAAACATGTCTCTCTTGGGGAGAGGGGCTTGGGTTTGAATCCTGGTTCTGCCACTGACCGGCTGTGCAGTTCTGGGTGAAACCACGTCCCTCTCTGGGCTGCTGCTGTAAGGATTGAGCCAGCACTCAGAATGATGCAACACAGGGCTTAATAACAGGTGAAAAACCTGCCATCTGTTGCAAGTGAATCTCACCCTTCTATCAGGGAGAAGGGCCCATCTCACAGATGAGAAAAACAAGGTTTAGAGAAGTCAGGTAAACTCCACAAGGCCAGAAGCTCTCGTGAAGGGTGGCAAGGGCCAGACTCAGGCGTTCTGACCTCACCCCAACCCTTCCTGCCCCTGCGTTTCCCTGGGATGGCAAGTGGGCACGTACCTTGAAGTCCTCCCTGTCCTTGACTCTGCTCTTGGAGGCCACAGCCCGTGTGTGCCCCAGCAGCACCTGCCCGATGGCCCTCTCTGTGTGCTGCTGCAGGAGCTGCCCGACCTCCTGTGCCTCGGCCAGGAGTTGCTGCTGGAGCTGCAGCCGCGTCTGCTGTGCCTCATCCTCCAGCCTGCCTGCCTCCTCCAGGACACGCGCCTCCTGGGAAGGAAGGACCGGGACAGGGAGGGGCCCACACTGCTGGCCTGCACAGAGAAGCTCCGGTCAGGGCCAGGACGTGGGGTTGGCCCTGCTCAGGGTCCCAAGTTTGGAGAAGCTTGGAGAAGGAAAGAGCTGGATCTGGGCTTGCAGAAACCCACATGCAATGGATGAGCCTATGTGCCTGTTGAAGATTCCACCCCAAAAGGCATTTCTTGAGCACCAGCTCTGTGCCCAGTGCTACCTGTGGTCCCTCACAAGGTGGGGGGACTTGGTCATCCTTCTAGAACACCGTGAAGCCTGAACACTAGGACTGAAGAGGACACCAAGTCTCAGAGAAGTTAAACAACTTTTTTTTTTTTCCTTTTTGTCTTTTTTCGTGACCGGCAACGGATTGCAACCCTCAGTGTCGTGCCCGTACCGGACTGGGACCGGCAACGGGATCGCAACCCTCGGTGCCGTGCCTGCACCTCGCTCAGCCAGTGAGCGGCCGGTCCGTATGTGGGATCCGAACCCTCGGCGGGAGCGCCGCCGTGCTCCCAAGTGGAGCACTGTAGCAGTGTGCCACCGGGCCGGCCCTTAAACAACTTTTTAAAAGATACTCAGCAGAGCCAGGTTTTGAAGCCTGACCTGAGCCTGACAGTAGTCTCTCAGGACATCACTGAAGCTGGGGCAGGGCACACAGGAGCCTGGGGACTGCCTTTCATTGTAGCAAAAAGGGAGAAAGAAGGAAGGGGAGTGGACGCTGGGGCAGCGAGTCTGCCTGCTTCCCTCAGAACTCCCCTGGGCAGACTAGAGACTCCGAGGTTGTGCCTCACAAATCGTCAGCTGCTCCTGTAGCTTAGCAGCTACATGAGTGGGACCTGGGGTCAGCCTACTTGGGTTTAAATCCCAGCTCTCCAATTTATAAATTCTTCCTTTCAACTTCTTAAAACCTTCGAAGAGATTACAGAGGCTTTTTCTCCCATGCCCCTGAGGACGGCTGTGCCTATCTCCTTTTTATTTCATATGGATTTTCTAGTTATGTCACCTATACTCGAACCTTTTGGCACATGGGTCCTCCCTTCAGTGGGCTGCCATTGTCCCCACCTGTTATGGGCTAAACTGTGTCCCCTCAAAACTCATATGTTGAAGTCCTAACTCCAAGACCTCAGAATGTGACTGTCCTATACATGGAGATAGGTAGGGTCTTTAAGGAGGTAATTCGGGTAAAATGAGGTCATATGGGTGGACTCTATTCCAATATGACTAGCGTCCTTATAGAAAGTGGAGATTAGGACACAGACACACAGAGGGATGATCAGGAGGACACAGGGAGAAGATGGCCATCTGTAAGCCAAAGAGAGAGGCCTCAGAAGAACCAACCCTGCTGATCTCAGACTTCCAGCCTCCAGAATTTTAAGAAAATAAAGTTCTGTGACTTAAGCCACCCAGTGTGTGGAACTTTGTTATGGCAGCCCTAGCAAATGTATGTGCCACCCTACAGCAATAGGGCAGTAGCATGAGGGTTTGGCAAACAAGGCTGGAACCTGGGACCTGATGAAGGGGCACTGCCTGTGGGGGCAGGTGGGGGCGCCGATGTGCAGATCTTACCAGGGCTTTGAGCAGCTGCCACTGGTGCTCGTCCAGGCACTGGGAGGAGCCCTGCTCCAGTGCATGCTGCTCACGCAGCTCCTGGAGGAGGCTCTTCTTCCCAGACAGCCTCATCTGGGTCAGGGTGGTGATGGTGCTGCCACGGAGAGCCAGCCTCCGGAGGGCTGAGCGCAGCAGCAGGTCATGCCCCTGCAGGATACACTGTGTGGACCTTGAGGAGAGCAGGAGAAGGGGCAAGGAGTCAATGGTCTTGGCTTCACTGAGCTACTGAGAAATAACCCAAATAGTCATTCCCAACAGGGAGCCAAAAGAAAGTGGGTTGAAATCATCCCATCCTCTTCTGCCCATTCTCCAAGACATGGGTGCTCACCTGGGTTATATTCAGCCATCTGTCCTTTTATTAATCTTTTTACCTTTATCCCATCCTGCCCAACTGTCAGATGCATATATGCAGCTGCTGACTATGTGTATCCACTTGAATTTCTTACATAACTCTCAAAATTAACAGGTCAAAAAACAAAATCATGAGCTATTTTTGAATTCCTATCTCAGCAACCAATAAAAAATCTCAGTCTACCAGAAAGGCCCACCATTTGGTTTTCTAACTTGAGGTATTTGTTGAGAGGTTGAAAAGCTGAACAGAGGTTTGGCAGTCAGCCCACCAAGGAAGAGAGAGCTCACAAACACAGGCTTTCAGCTGATAGTCTTTATCCTAGGACAAGGAATCATCCCTTATAAAGATCTAATTTTGAATCAGCTAATTCCCAATGTAGAGTTAATCTGCCACTATCCGAAATTCCTGCTATAAGTAAGATAAATCCCCTCTGGAGGAAGACCAGACTTTTTAAATTACTTCTACAATTTTTTATGCATAGTGTCTATCATTTAATAGAAATGACCAGACAAGCAAACAGATAAGAATTAACTAAAAACAAAGAGAAAAAATAGACAATAGAAACAGACTCACAAGATACCAGATAGTGGAATAATCACACACAAATTTTATAATAAATACATTTGAGAAATTAAATAATAAGATGAAAAATTTCAGCAGATAACTGGAAACTATGAAAAATATCAAATGGAAATTCTAGAACTGAAAACACGGTAACCAACATTAACAACTCAACAGATGAATTTGACAGCAGATAAATACATAGCTAAAGAGAGAATGAACTGGAAGACAGCTCAAAAGAAAATATTCAGACAGAACCGCAGAGAATGAAAGAATGACAAATACAAAACAACATGTAAGAGACATAGGATGAGGTGAAAACGTCTAATAAACGTGTAACTGGAGCCCCAGAAAGAGAGGAGGAAGAAAATAGGCAGAGAAGTATTTAAAGAGATAATGACTGAGAAATTTCATAAACTGGTGAAAGAAAGTAAATCACGATTCAGAAGCACTACAAATTTATTAAACAAACAAAAATGCACACAAAACTCACACACTGTTTAGGCATATCATACCAAAGTGACAAAAACTAAAGAATAAAAGAAAATCTTAAAAGCAGCCAGAAACAACTGATATCAGGAGACAACAGATTATCTCTAATAATATATATATTTTTTTCCCTTTTGTCTTTTTTCATGACCGGCCACGGATTGCAACCCTCAGTGTTGCACCCGTACTGGACCGGGACCGGCTATGGGATCGCAACCCTCGGTGTTGCTCCCGCACCTCGCTCAGCCAGTGAGCGGCCGGTCTGTATGTGGGATCTGAACCCTCGGCAGGAGCGCCGCCGCGCTTCCCAAGCGGCGCACTGTAGCAGTGCGCCACCGGGCCGGCTCTCTCTAATAATATTTTAAGAATAACAACCAAACTAGGGTTCTATGACCACTGAAGATATTCCTCAAAAATGAAGATGAAATAGACATTTTCAGACAAACAAAACCTAACAGAATTTGTCACTAGCAGATCTGAAATAAAGAGAACCCTTCAGAGAAAGGAAAATAATCCCAGATGGAAGCTTAGAGATAAAGACAAGAATCAAGATCAACAGAAAGGGGAAATAGGTGATTAAATCTAAATGAATATTGACTGCATAAAAGTATACTGATAATATCTTTTGGAGCTGAAATATAGAGAGAATTGTAATGTACAATTACAAAAGCATAATCTGTCAGAGAGGAATAAATGTGTTACAGTGCATACAATGTCCAGAAAGAAGTAACATATTGATATAAAATAGATTTTGACAAGTCAAGGGTGCAATTTGAAATCTCTGGACCACAAAAAAAGCATAGTAAAAAGAATATTACCTAAGAAGCCAAAAGAGAGATAAGAAAAAATAACCAAAAAACACAATCCAAAAGAAGGCAAGAAAGGAGAGAAAAAGGAACATAGACCAAAGTGGGAGAAACATGAAACAAACAGAAAGATGGTAGATTTAAAACCCAAATATATGAGCATTTGGATTTACATTAAACATAAATGGACTAAATATGAACACAATTAAAAGACACAGGTTTGCAGGCTCCACAAATCCCCCAATTGCTCTCTGCTTCATCAGCATGGTTCTCACCAGGTCTCCCCTGGTCTAGTTCCACTTATGTTTCCATTCTCTTCTCCCGATGCTTCCCCTACATTATGCAATACTATACAAGAGTACTTCAAAAAGTTCAAGGAGGGCCGAGCCCGTGGCGCACTCAGGAGAGTGTGGTGCTGGGAGCGCAGCAGCACTCCCGCCACGGGTTCGGATCCTATATAGGGATGACCCGTGTGCTCACAGCACTCACTGGCTGAGCGTGGTGCAGCTGGTCTCAAAAAAGGACAAAAAAAAAAAAAAAAAAAGTTCATGAAAAGATTTGCATTACTGTTTTTTGTTTTTTGGGTTTCTTGGTGGCTGGCCAGTATGGGGATCCAAACCTTTGACCTTGGTGTTATAACACCACGCTCTAACCAACTGAGCTAACTGTCCAGGCCTGTATTATCCTTTATTTCTATTTTCCCACTAACTTTTTGAAGTACTCTTGTAACTATAAACCTGATTCTTGATGTATACACAGATTAGGTTCCTGGAAAGGGCGGGGCAACTAAAAAAATTTATGTCAGAATAATTTTTTTCGTATGAAATTTAAAAAAAGAAATATTTTTCAGCAATTGACAAAAACATTGAAATTGAAACTGCACTGCAAGCAAGAGGTGAAAAATGAATATAAAAATCGATTAATACATGGGGAATGACTGCAAATGGGCACAAGGGTTCTTTTTGGGGTGATGGAAATGTTCTAAATTTCAATTGTGGTGATGTGTGCAGACTTTGTAAATTTACTAAGAATCACTGAATTGTACTCTTAAAATGAATGAATGTAAATTACAACTCAAAAAAGCTAATCGAAAAAGTTCCTATGAAAGATAACTCTATGAAATAGGTATCATTAGCCCCATTTTATAGATGAGGAAACTGAGGCTAAAAAAAAAGTCATTTGTCCAGATTAATTCTGATTCCAAGCTTTTAATATCCATGGCACTCTGCTATCACTTTATTCCACATTTATATTTACGGTTTGGTTGTTCTCAAGCCACTCAGTAAGGAGGGCAGGGGAAAGTCAATGTGTCCACCTTACAGATGAGGATGCTAAGTCTAGTGTGGGGTATCACACAGACACAATCCTTGTGAGAGCTGTACTCACTCATCGCTGAGGCTGCCGAGTCGGCCCAAGACTCCGTGGACAGTGCTCTCGTGGTCTTCCCGCAGGTGTGTCTGCAGCACAGAGGACAGCGCCCACTCCTCCATCCATGCCTACACCCCAGGACACAGGAACAGAGCATGCACCAGGTTATGCAGCCAGAGCTCATTCCATCTATCACTGCTTTGTTAGATGTACCTCTCATTTCTGGTTTTAAAAATTCCTACCTCCTATGATTTCACTAAAGTTTTCTCCTATGTTTTCTTCTAAAAGTTAAAGAAATTTTCTATTTGCAGTTAGGTCTTAAAACATCTAAATTTTATTACATGTGGAATGTGGAAGAAATCTAATTTTCTCTAAATAAATGGATAACTAATTGTACCAGCACCGTTTATTAAATAATTTATCTTTTTTTCTGACTATTCAGCTAATAAATAGTGGAGGAGGGACTGAAGTCTAAATCCGTCTGTCCCTGCCTCCAAAGTCCAAATACTTCCTAGCTCCACTATGCTCTTCTCCGACTATTTTTTTTTTTTTCCTTTTTTCGTGACTGGCAACGGATCTCAACCCTCAGTGTCGCGCCCGTACCGGACCGGGACCGGCAATGGGATCGCAACCCTTGGTGTTGCGCCCGCACCTCGCTCAGCCAGTGAGCGGGGTCTGTATGTGGGATCCGAACCCTCGGCGGGAGCACTGTAGCAGTGCGCCACCGGGCCGGCCCCTTCTCCGACTATTTCATAGCACCAGGAGGAACATGCACCTACGTCAGCAAGACCCTGTTACAACCACAGACTCTTTCTCATTTTTCCTGATCTGTAGCTTTTTAAAAGGCTCTACCTCCAGCAGTCTGGAGATGGCGCATGCTGCATTCAGAATAAAGACAAAACACGGGTCTGGACAGAAGAACCTGTGACCTGGACTGCAATTCTTCTGAGCACTGTGGTTCATCACACTTACGCTTAATATCACAAAGCCACATTGTGTTACCTGGAACACTTCATTAAAGTCAGCCTCTGACTCCTCTTGTGAGGAATTTACAATAATCAGAGGGCTTGGGAAACCAGAACATTCTAGAAAATTCTACAGTCTTGATTCTTTAAAAGATGAATTAACAGGGTCACTAAAGTATATGGGAGTCTTGGCTGTGCATTTTGAGGATGCAGACAAAAGTAGCAACGGGATTCAAAGACGATCAAGATGCTCATTGGACTAGATGTACCTGCACCTATCCCACCAGCCTCTTCTACATTATCAAACACAGGCTCATAAAGTGTCTAAATGCAGAAGCAGCAAGCTGCTTCAGCAGGCAAGGGTGCTGACCCCGGTCACAGCCACCAGGTCACGTTGTGGCCTTGGCTCTGTTATACACTCAATTTTAAACCCTCGTGTATCATGGGAGAAAGAGGAAGGGTGCTAACAGTCATGACACCTGGAATGTGCCGAGGGTTGGGTGGTCTGCTCCTTGAAACAGGGAGGGTTTACAGAGGGGTGGGTTCTAGTCCACACACTGGAGCACTGGCAGTGAGGAGGCATAAAGAGCACGGTCAGGGCAGGCTACATTGTGAAGGTGACAGGGGAGCAAAGACCAGGAACAGGGGCAGGCAGGAGCATGCCCGGTGGCAAGGAGCCAGTGAGGCTGGAGGGGAGTGAGCGGGGGCAGAGAGTGGGCAGGTGAGCCAGAGGGCAGCCAGGTCCTGGCATGGAGGGCCTCGCAGGGCATGGTGAGCACTCTGGCTTTTACGCTGCCTGCAATGAGGAGACAGTGGGGGTTTTGAGCAGAGAAGTGGCACAATGTGACTGAGTGTTTCATATCAAATCTATTGTGTTGACAATTGTGAGATGTCCAATTATTTTGGGTATCATGAACAGAGAAAACTCACTGCCAATTAAATTAAGATGCATCTCAATTTCAGGGATGTTAAAATAAGTTAAATGTGCATCCTAAAAATTAGTGGCATGCAGTATGTTTTAGAAGTTTTGCTCTGGCTGGGGTTGAGAATAGACCACAGGGGCCAGGGCGGATCTGGGGAGACCAGCTGGCCACTGTCATGGTAGTCCAGGGTGCTAAGAGTGGGGGTGACGAGAAGCAGTTACATTCTGGATTAGACTGAGGGTAGAACCAGTGGGATTTCCTGTCGATCACATGCAGGGCAGGAAAGGAAGAGGAGTCAAGGACACCCCCAATGTTTTTGCCCCAAATAAGTGAAAAGACAAAGGAAGGGTAAAGTAGGGTGGCAGGAAGAGCAGCAGTTCTGCTCTGGACACACCAAATTGACATGTTTTATTGATCATCTAAATGGAGATGTGTGGGGAGCTGACCTGACGAACAGATTCTGAGCTGAAGACAGAAATTTGGGAGTTTTGGTCCTGAGTTCTACAACCCCTGAGGAACCGAATCCTGCCAAGAACCATGTAGGTGCACTTGCAAGAGATTCTTCTCCGTTGAGCCTTTGGATGAGACCCCATCCCTGGCCAACACTTTGGTTGCAGGCTTGTGAGAGACCCCCGAGCAGAGGACCCAGTTAAACTATGCCTGGATTTGTGACCTACGTAAACTGTGAAGTAGTAAATGTGCATTGTTTTAACCTGCTTGTTTGGGGGTTGTGGGGCAGCATTAGAAAACTAATACAGGGCCGGCCCAGTGGCACACTCAGTAGAGTGCGGTGCTTGGGAGCGCGGCGGCGCTCCCGCCGAGGGTTCGGATCCCCTATAGAGACTGGTCTGCTCACTGGTTGAGCGCAGTGTGGGCATGACACTGAGGGTTGCGATCCCATTACCCGTCATGAAAAAAGACAAAAAAGGAAAAAAACAAAAAAGAAAACTAATACAGATGGTGTGTGACAGGATGGGATCACCAAGTGCTATGGGTTGAATATGTCCCCCAAGAGCTCATGTGCTGCAAACTCGATCCCCATTGTAACAGTGTTAAGGGGGTGAGAAATATGGTTATGGTATTTGAAAAGTGGGGCCTTTGAAAGGTGATTGGATTGTGAGGACTGTGTTCTCATGAACAGATTAATCCACTCACGGAATAATGTGGACTGGTGACTTTATGAGGAGAGCACATGAAAACGCTCTTGCAGTTCTTTCCATGTGACACCCTGGTCATCACGGGACTCTGCAGCGACTCCCCCCAAGAAGAAGGCCCTCACTAGATGTGTCCTCTGGACCTTGGACTTCCCAGCCTCCAAAACTGTAAGAAATAAATTTCATTTCTGTATAAATTGCCCAGGTGCAGTACTCTGTTATAAGTCACAGAAAATGTATTAATATACCAAGACGGCACATGTAAATAGGGAAGAGAACCATGGACTGCATCCTGGGGTGCTCAGTGTTCAGAAATCAGGGGGAGGAGGAGTCACCAGTGAGGTGAGAGAGGAAGCAAAAGGTCAAGCAGGTCTTCAAGGAGGAGGGAGACACCAGCCTGGCCAACTGCCACTGCCGAGTCCAGTATGGTGAGACCTGAGGGCTTGGCACAGAGGGGAGCAGGTTTTGTGGGAGGTGATAGAAACCCGCCTGGAGTGGGGATGAAAGTAGGAAGAGATTCAGGATTCAAAGCCTGGCAGATTGACTCCAGTGCTGGTGTTCTCTACTGCCAGCTAAAGAGTGCGTGGACAGCCACATTCCCATGAAAAATGCAGACTTTACAGAGTGGTGTATTAGTTTCCTGTGGCTACTGTAACAAATGACCACACATTTAGCAGCTCACAATAGCACAAACTTATCCTGCAGTTCTGGAAGGCAGAAGTCTAAAACGTGTGTCTCCAGGGGCTCAGCAAGGTGTCGCAGGCCCGATTCCTCCTGGAGGGGCCCGGGCAGAGCCTATTCCTTGCCTTTCCCAGCTCCTGGAAGCACCTGGATTCCTCGGCTGTGCTCCAGCCTCCTTCTCCAGCTCCAGCAGTGGCTGAATCCTTCTCACACCGCTTGACTGACACTGACGCTCCTTTTTCACTTATGAGGACCCTAGTGATCACACTGGGTCCAGCCAGATAATGGGGAAGATCTCCCGGTCTCAAGATTCTTAACATAATCACGTCTGCAAAGTCCTTTCTGCCTTGTAACCCAACATATTCACAGGTTTTAGGGGTGAGGGTGTGGAGCTCTTTGGGGGGCTGTTATGCTGCCCATCACAAGTGGACTGGGAAAAGCCCAGAAACCTGCATTAGAGCAGATTACACTTTGAGAAACCTGTTCCAATAGCATAATTCTCAAATTCCATAACTTTTAATAATTTCTCTAAGCAACAGAATATGTAGCCACCAAGGCCTTTTCGGATAGAAAACAATGTGGGAACGGCAATTCACAGTCTCAATGTGTTTTCAATTTTCCACGAACAGTTTTGTGGTTCTTTTCATCTTGTGACTAATACCCATATGAACCACAGCAGGTTCATTTCTCATTTTTCTCATCAACAGGAAATATGGCAAGTGGGAGAGAAAATGGATCTCTAAATATCTTGTGGTAATTTAAGGCAGTTAAGCAACCAATCAGTAAATTGATTATGACATCCACACCTTGTGAAAACAGTTTTGGGTCATACTTATTTAATTAGTTGATGGGATCGTTAACTTTGCTGTTTGCTTCTTGCATGCAAAAATCATCCTGAAAAACTTTCCACGAGCCAAGAAAGACTCACAATAATATGCTCACAAAGAAAAAAATAAAAAATGCAAAACAGCGTTGCCTAGTCTGACATTCGCCTAAAATAACTTAAGGCTCATAACCAGAGAGTTTTAGATGAATCACAGGTGTTCTATCGGAAAGGAAATTCTGGATTTTTCAATGTTAATACCATTAAAAGACTCAATGGACATTGTGCAAAAGGTCTTAACTTGCATTGTCTCATAGCAATCTCTTGGGTATTTTGATCCCTAGTTTTCACACAGAAGCTGGGGTTCTGAGACATTTAGCAAGTTGTGCAAAAATCACAGAGTTGTAGAAGGTCAGCTAACTGGCTGAAGTCAAACAGTCCGTTAGTGCATTTGCGCTGGCTCAAACAACCAGCACCTAGAGTTGGGTGGTCCAGGATTAGGACAGTGGCTCAGCACCGCCACCAGGGCCTCGGGCTGCCCACCTCTCTGCTCCACCATCCTGAGCATGCCGGCCTCCGTCTCCATGCAAACTGCCTCTAAGTCAGAGCAAGGCTGGTGCACACGTTCTAGGCAGGAAGAGTGGAAATGCTGACGGAGGGGAAAGCATGGTCCTAGCAGGACTCGGCCTTCCCATTAGTAAAGAGGAGCCTTTTGCAGGTTCCACACTTATCTCAGGCCAGAACCATGTCACTCGGCCACTGCTAGTTGCAAGGGATACTGGGATACTGATCATGTTAGTTGTTCAGCCTCTAGAGTGCAGAGAGCAAGAGAGAAAGCAGACGTGGGCGGTTTTGGTGTCTGCCACATTTGGAAATCCCTTCTTCTATTTCACAGTTTTCAATGTTTTAAAATAAAATTAATGTACATTGTGTCAGTTTCCTATTGCTGCTGTAACGTATTGCCACAAACTCTGTGGCTTAAAGTAGCACAAACTTATTTTCTTACAGTTCTGGAGGTCAGAATTCTGAGACACACCTTAATAGGCTGAAATAAAGGTGTTTGGGCAGTTCTGTGTTCTTCACTAGAGGTTCTAGGGGAAAATCTGCTCCTTGCCTTTACCAGCTTCTAGAAGCCACCAGGGTTCCTGGGTTCGTGCCTGCATCAGCCCATCTTCTGCTTATATCATCAAATCTCCTTCTCTGACTGTGACTATCCTTCCCTCTCGTAAGGACTCTGTGATGACATTGGGCCCAACCGGATAACCCAGGATAACCTCCCCATCTCAAGATCCTTAACTTAATCACATTAGCAAAGTCCCTTTTGCCATGTCAGGTGACATATGCAAAGGGTCTGGGGGTTAAGACGTGACACCTGCAGGGGCCATTATTGTATTTACAGCATATATGTATAGTTTTAATAATCAAAAAGGCATCACTGAAAAGCAGGTGCCCCTGTGTGCAGCCCTTCCCACCGAGCCCACTCCCCTGTGAACCACCTTCCCTTCTGCCGCCATGTAGCTGGTCATTTAATTCCCTCACCCAAAAGAACGTGCTTTCCTGCTCTTTCTTCATCCATGTAAGGCCTTATCTCCTGACTTCCTATCATGGGAGAGGAGGTTCTGCTGCCATATCTAACCCATCTTAGTGGGCTGTTGTGAAAAGTTGGCAATGGCCATCTTTGTAGAGGGTCTAGAATAGGCACTGGGGGATGCTCAATACACGAAATCTCTAATTAATCTTCATAATTTTCCAAAAGGCAGACCCAACCCCTGGGTTCCAGCTGCCACACCTGCTGGTCTTGCTCCAGAAGATCCTGAACGAGTTTCCACTGCTGTCTCCGGAAGCGATCCGACTTCCCCAGCTGTCGGGCGGCGTTCTCCTGCATCTCCTGCCTCAAGTGTTCACACTCTGCCCCAGGGAGGCCGGTCACGCTTGGGAGAGTCTGAAGGAACAGGACATCCACAAACTTCTGGAAGGTGTCCATGGCACTGCAGTGCAGCTCCTGAAGCCAGAACGACACTTGGGGTTACAGGTCACTATCCCACCCTGCGAGGGGCCTGAGCTTCCCTCTGTCCCTCCTCCACACCTCTCCCAAGAGACACAGGAAATCCAGAAACAAGAACCTTCACGTCACACAGGTATGCATACAAGCGCACACACCTACGCACATAGACACGCACATGCACACACAAACACACACAGAAACACAAATACACACTTATACACAGACATAGACATGCACACATACATAAACATATGTACACATACAGAGATGCAGACACACAGAAACAGAGACACAGATAGACATACATGGCTACACAGACACACATAAACACATGTGCACACACAAACACACAGAGACAGACACACACATACATGAACACATGCACGTGTGCACACACATTTGTACCCACACGTACGCATGGACACACACATAGAGTCTTGGGACACACCCACCACCTTTGAGTCCTCTCACCCCATCCAGTCAAGCTCCAGATCGGCCTCTGCCCCTGACCCGATGAACTTTTCACCTCTGGCATCTATAAACCACCATCTAGGCCTCCCCCCGGGTCACCATCTAGATGACTCTCACAAGCCCCTCTGGTCTCTCTACCTCTCCACCCTGTACATTTAGGCAAGTAAGTTGCATAAACGTCAATTTTATCATGAGTCTTCCCTGCTCAAATAACTCGGAAGACCTCTGTCCCGGTCACAGTAAAATTACCCAGCAGGCTTCTGGGGGGTCCAGAACCTGGCCCCGGTTATCCTATCTCATGTCCCAACACCCTGCTGCCTTCGTAACTGTCCCCACTCCAGTTTCTTCCGAAAAATGTTATTTCATTAAATTATGGGGAAAAACCCCACGCCACAGATAATAATGATTAAACACCAAACCTCGTAGGTTAGGTTGGAGTCATTTATGTCCCCCTGCAATTCTTTTCCCTCCCTCCTAGCCTCGGGGACAGCCATCCCATAAATACAGTGTCTCTCTCTCTCCAGTTTACACTTCTGTACGTTCACTATAGATGATGATCGTAAATGTGGCTTTTGGTGTATGTTAATTCACACAGAAACGGCATCTCACTGCATGCTTCATTATGCAGATGCTTTTCAAGACACTCTCTTTACCCTGCTTCCAGCACATTCACACCTGGAACGAACTCCTCCCGATTCAGCAAAACCGTCTCTAAATAACCCCTTCTCTGTGGAGGGTCCAGACATGCCCTCAGCTGCTCAGACTAACACGGACACTTCTGATCCTGGGCTCTCACAGCTCTTTGGTTAGCGCACCAGGGCATCTACACCACAATGTATCTGTCATCCCCGCTGGACCGCAGCTCCCTGAGCACAGAGGCTGTATCATACTTAGGTCTGCACCCACGTCTTGCATCCTCCCCAACCGAGCAGCAGCATGACTAGAATGCCTCCCCTTCTCTATCTAGGAACTCTCCACCCACATTCTAAATGCAATTCCAGGCAAGGCCCCCAGGCCACAGGGTTGGATTAGGTACAATGTGGCTTAGCTGAACAACTGCTCTCTCCTGGAGTCTGGAGTCTTGGAACCTGCCAGGCGGACAGGACCTGACAAAAACCTTGGACTCCTAGCTCAGGTGAATTTGCCTCATAGGCAACATTTCACACATGCTCTCACAACTCGTCATTATGGAAATTAAATGCATTCTGTGCAACTCCACGGGGAGAGGGCTCTGGAGGCCTGTGCCTGGTTTCCTCCAGGTTTCACCCCATGTGCCTTTTCCCTTTGCTGATGTTGCTTTGAGTCCTTTCACTGTAATAAATCATAGCCGTGGGTAGGACTACAGGCTGAGTGCTGTGAGCTGTCCTAGTGACTCATGGAGCCTGGAGGTCCTGGGAACCCCGGCAGAGGTGCCCTTCCTTTGCTGGTAGCCCTCTAGCAGTTACCACCTGTAGCAGCCACTGGTGGTTTGATGGTGTTTTTCGTGGGCTGGACCACGAGGCTTCTTCAAGACAAAGTTTTCTCTTACTACTTTGCACTTGCAGGGCCTAGCACGTGCCTGGCCAGTGGCAGGTAGTAATAATTATAGTTGTTAATAATTATGAATTCTTACCACTGTCAGTGTCATAAACACTGTTCTTGTATAACTTCATTCACTCTGTATAAGACCCCAATGGAGGTGTTTTATTATAATTACTATTATTTTACAGATGAAGAAACTGAGGCACAGAGAAGATAGGTAACTGGGACATAGTTTGTAGATGGCGGGTCCTGGCTGTTGGACCCTTGGACTCATACTTTTCACTACCATGCTACATGGATAACTGGTTTTTTGAAAGAAAAATAAACACGTCTTCAGCACCTGGTATGGGGCGTATACCTAGGTCATACTTGGTGTGCTCAATGAATGTAAGTTAAATTTAATTCAAATTGAAGAAAAAAGCATTTTACAAAATTTAAGTTCCGTGCACGAGAAACATTCTTAGCAAATTAGGAATGGAAAGAAATCTCCTTAATCTAATAAAAATATCAACTATAGCAAACATTATACCTAATGGTGGAAATCATAAACAATATTAAGAAAAATTAAATAAATAAGACCTACATCAATGTAGAAATATAGACGTTTCTGGATTGGCAGACTTGATACCGTAAAGATATTAATCCTTTCCAAATTGATCTATAAATTCAAAATTGTAATCAATAACTACACAGAATAACAATCGAAGCTACACATACTCTTTAACCCAACAATTCCACTCCTTGGTATGTACCTAAGAGAAATATGTCACACAAATCCATTGTCAGCGAAACATGTAACAGGCTCAAATAAGAAGATACAGATGTCATCAGCCGTCGAATAGGTAAATGCGTGGTGGTGTATTTATCCCATGAAATGCTTTCCAGCAACAGGGAATTACTGCCACGTGCAGACACAGCGATGAACCTTGCGGACGTCAAGTTGAGCAGAAGCCCGGCAGGAAAGAGTACAGGCTGTGTGACTGCACTTACAGAAGGTTCAAAAGCCACCAAAGCTACGCAGCAGTGTTCAGGGACGTGCTCTGAGGGTAAAACTGTAAACAAAGCCGAGGCCCTGAATTCCATATCTGCAGGAAAACGGCTCCCGAGCGGGGACGGTGTTAGGACAGGGAAGGGACACAGGGCAGGGGGTAGGGGTGGCGGTTCTGGGTCCCAGCCCTGTTGTCTTTCTTGATCTAGCTGGTGGTTACACAGGAGTGTTTTACACAATCACTTGTTAATCTGTACACTTATGCTTTATCCATTTATTCATGTGTACTATATTTCACAATAAAAAACAGTTTAATAATAGGAGAGTACTTACATTTTTTCCCAGCCTCTAAAAATCCCAATTTCCTGCCAGTAGACAGATTTTTTTAATTCGCCTACCTTGGAATCCATCATTCTCCAGCAGTGGCTGCAATACTGAGACGCCTTTTTCTTTATCGTTCATGATTGTCACACCACAAAAAAAACGCGGTTTGCAAATGACAGAAAGGCTAACTCTGTAAAAGCTTCACGGTCCAGTAGCCTGGCTCTTTCTAATGAAAAACGTGCTGGATCCTCTCTGCTCCCTTAAAGGAGTTGAGTCTGTGTTCTTCGTCACATGCTCTGACTGGCCATAAAACACATGGCTTCCCACTTACTGCTGGCATGTTTCGTTTGGGAGATGCTGATTTATTCCATGCCTGAATTAGATACAGAATCAATCTGTGTCACTACTGTCTTGGTATGTGTGAAAGGGTCAGGAGAGCTGGTGAGAGAGGCTGGGCGCAGCCTTGACCCCGAGCTCAGGAGGCTGTCCCCTTCCCTCAAACAGAAGCGACAGAGCCCAAGCAAAGGTGCCAGCTCAGTCTTGATTTGGTCTTTCACTCAGGTCTCTGCCGCTGCAGCCCGACCCAAATGATCACCTGTCCTCCCCAGGTTTCCTGCAGAGAAGCAACAGGGACAGGGAAGGTGCACGGAGTCTGGAACCTTCAAAGTCACTCAACCTACCCAAGGGCTGGTAAGAGCTGCTTTGAAGCTGATGATGAGGACTAGACATGATTTATGGGGCTTGGCCAGCACACAGCACACAGAAAACATGTAATAAATGCTTACCAATTATCACTAGATAAAAGCTGGAAAAGTGTGTGACTCTCAGTAAGTGTTATCCCTGGAGATTTCCATGCTAGGAACAAAGCATTTTGGAGAAAAGGGGTGAGAAGGCTCCCTCTGAGCAGGGGCAGTTCGTGTTTCAGTTGTTTGCGGGGTGAGTAGGAGGGAGGGGGCATTCCAGGCAGAGGTGCGGGGGCAGGGGTGGGCAGGTGCCCTTTGGAGAGAGGCAGGTGGCGCAGTGGGGCTGGAGTACAGGGTGCTGGGGAGGTCTGGGACTGAGGGGGTCAGCCCCACACGGGGGTGCCCAATGCCACACCAAGGAGTGGAGGCCTGGTAGTCTGGACCAGGAGGGGCTCAGGCAGGTGGGGAAGTGGCAGGTCTGAAGATCACTGATGACAGTGGGCAGTTTCTGAGTCAATTAAATGGATGTTTCAGGATGCTCCAGACATGGCCTGGCCCCGTGACCTTTTTATTCCTCATCACAGTAACCAAAAACATTCCCCCATAGGGACCACCACCTGATTATTTTGCAGGGACTCATTCACCAACTTCAGAGTAAGGTGCTCAGGTAAGTTTGGGTCTCTTAAAAATGGGAAGTGGGCTGGAACAACGGCCAGCACCGGGCACCTGTCTGTGCTGTGCCATCCACCAGTAGTGTGACCAAAGACCAACTCCCTGCCCCTCTAGGCCTCTTCTGTCAACAAAGGAGGGTACCTGAGCCACGAACTTGTGAAATGTTTCGAGATCACATGAAACACCTGCACAGCTTGACACATGGCCTCCAATTCTCTCTCTCTCCAGTCCTGGTGCCCCTGCCACACAGCTCTGCGGAGCCTTCCCATGGTGAGTAGGGCAGACCCTCCACCCCTCTCACTCTGGGCTAGGCATGTGACTTGCTCTAGCTGACAGAA